TTGAATAATTTGATGCTGTCAATTTTATCATGAAACCTATATCACCCTCTATGATCTCGAATAGAATTTACTTCTGTTTTGGGCTATTTTTGTATCGATATTTCGAAATAACCCTTGCTCCGATACCACTTGTTGGACCTGAAGCAATAAACATAGCAATTCAAAAGTAATATATTGTAATAAACCCAAAGTAATAGATAACAATCAATAATAAAAAATATAAAAAAATAAAGCACACCAATATTTATGTGCAAAACCCTTCAGTGTAGAGAAAAAAATCACGGACCATCAAAAAATTTTCGCTATTAAATAATGGATATATAAAGTTTTTCTCTAGTTAAAACTAAAGCTAATCAACAACTAGAAAGAGATAATTGGAAAAATCTTACTAAATAGGTGACTCAATAAATACACCATGAATTTGTTCCTAGAGAGCTTTAAACCTGATCTTCATTGTTCAAAATGTAAAACTCTGAATCATAAACCTGTTAATAAAATTTTAGCTCAATCGGACCACGGATCGACTTTCGTTCAACCAACTCTCCTTTTTCCCTTTTTTCTCTTTTATTTTTGGCTTTTCTTCTTTCTTTTCTTGGTTTGCAACACCACTTTAAAATAGCCCTACCTTTTTTTGTTAAATAGCTAGGGCTCTGTGTAAAAAGAAATATCAAGGCTTATGGCCTTTAATTAATCTAAACCCAATTACATGGGGCTGGACCTCATTTTTCTAATAAGAGAAAGTAGTAAGAGAGCTGATACTGTGACAAATTAGAGATGCAATCAGGCTACGATTAATTGCACTAAAAAGTATTGCTTTTAATTATGTAAACCAAGAATTATGTAAAAGATGAAAGCTAAGTAGGGTTACGCTTGAAATGTAAATATCAAGATTGATTGTACTTCTAGCTTGGTAACGGTGTTTATTGCTTTTCAGATAATGAAAATGCTACTTATCCCAAAAAAATTACATGTTATTAAAATATCTAAAGTTACATTTGTATTTCATATCATCTTCTAGCATTGAGTCATCTTTTTGCTTCCAAAAACAAAATACCATTAGTGGTAATTTTATATGTAAGATACATACTACATAAAAAATACACAAAAATAAATTCAACTATTAGAACTTGAGAAATTTTTTAAATGCTTCTATTTTGGATCTTGAAGAATATTAAGTATCAATCTAAAATCATGTTGTGGTAAGTGAAGAAATCCAATTTAAATACAAAATTACATGAAATTAAAAATTTAACATATGTAATGTAACATCACTTAATATGCTTCCATAGTATGTAAGTCAAAGACTATGTGATTTATCATGTGGTAAATTTTAAAAAAATAATATGTAAGAGAATAGAATAAAATTTTAGCTCAAATATTACATTAAACATTCAATTTAAAATTAATTGAAAATAAATATATATAATTTAAATATAAAATCACAAAAAAATTCTAAATTTAACATTCGTAAAATAATAGTATTTAATAAGGGAAAATAATGCTATGGAATGAAAGAATTAGTATCTATTTATATGATTTTTTATCAATATCTTTGTCCGATTTAAGTCCAATGAATTTTCCTAGGTAATATGTGTGTGAAATAAAAGTCTCCTTCAAATACTAATGGACTTAACATAGTTGTAAGGATAAGATTTTAGAATTTTGAGACCTTAAATTTAAGTTTTATTATATGATTTTAATTATTTAATTAAATTATAATTTATTAATTGATTATAATCGATAAAAAAAAAGCATCCTCCAAATGAATTAAGACATACTTAGAATAAAAAAGAAAAGCCCAAACAACATGGTAAGAAAGAACTAGATATTCTAACAAAAAAATAAAAATAAAAAACAAGTCAGAAAGGAAACCACAAAGAACCAAGATGGAAGGAAAATGACAGATGATACACAAAACAACAAAAGAAAAAAAGAAAAAGAAAAAAGAAATCATCAAACGCGTTAATGTAAAGTGAGAGACGACCCAAAACAGCTTCTTCGATGACCAGACTTACACTCAAGACAAAGATGATACTTTTGTTTAAAGGAAATTAAATCATATCATTCATAGCTAAAATGACAAATAAAGTAGAAAAAGGAAAACAATAAAATTGGAAAAAAAATGGGGTGGGGACCGGGGATTGCCTTAGGAAGCTTCATGCCAAAAGCAACGAATCTTTTCCTAAATATGTAATTATACCTATATTTTAATGATAAAATTCTTAATTTTTTTTTAATTTTGAGTTCAAATTTCATAACACTTAAATTCAATTTAATTTTATGTTAAATTTATTTAATTATATATTAATTCATTGATTGCTTTGTTTGTCCAATTTAATTCATTAATTTCATATATAAAATATAATATTTTATTATAATTATAAACTTTTTACTAGTAATTTTATAAAAAAAAAATGTTACAATTTAAATTGATAGCATCTTTATCCAAATTTGAATATTTCATTCTTATTACTTTAAACAAAATTCAAATGATTAGGAGAGAACAATCTATAATTTGAATTCAAGTACTTTAAATAGTCTATAATATATATTCTCTTAAAATTGTAACTCATTGTTGAATAGCACCTTGCTTAACTATGATATGTATGATTAAATATTGAAGAAACATGAAAATGAAGTTTTAATATTTCTAATAAATTATAGTAAACAACAAAAGAAAAAGGAATCATATTCAAAGTGATGGAAACCCAAAGCAAAATAGTTTGCTTCATGCTTTGAGGATTCTGGTTTCATAAATCAAAGAACAAAATCTTAGCATAAAAACATATCAAATGGAGAATATATTTGATCTTCAAATACGGAATTTAATTAAGTTGATTTATAAATTTTTTTAAAAAAATTATATTTTTTTTCAATCCCCAAATTATAATTTTTTTATATAAAAAAATAGTGTCCCTTCCATGCAAGTCTACTAATTGTTCAAGGCAGGCATATTCCTTTTCATTGCAAGTGCTTCAAGTTGAACAATTGATTAAGCAAGGCAAAATCTCTAACAAAAGTTCCCATTAAAAAAAAACTATTGACAATGACTAATTCTCAAAGAGGATATTTCCTTTCAAGTTGGAATGATGGTTATATCCTAGTCAACTGAAAAGTCTACATAGACTCATGATTTAAGATCATCCTAGGTAAGGGGAAAAAAAGGTTGATTTTTCACTTGCAAACTTTCTTTCTCCTTATATTCTTTCTTTTATTTTGGTGAATTGCAAAAATCTTTCACCATTTCATCATTGCATAATTACATTTTTAAAAAAAATCTAGTTTAATATGACAATTTTTAAGGTGGTAAAACAAATTTATTTCTTTAAATTAATATTTTTGATAAATAATTTTAAAATATTTATTTATTATTTATACATATGAAAAATTGAGAATCCATTAAATTTAAGCTTCACATGGAAAGGTAACACTCTCTTATCCTATCATCCTTATCTATCTTCTTTTAAGATTTGATTCTAATATTTTTCTTGAAAAAAAAAAAACTTAACAATTTTAAGGAGAAATTCAAATTCTAATATTTTTCTTAACATTTTTCAAATTATCATTCTTTTCATTCAAGGAGTATATACATAGTTCAAATTGTTCTTTTTTATTGTGGTATTTATTTCTTAAAAAAATTTGGTTAATTAACATTTAAAATATATAAAAACTTTCATTCAAAATTTTCATGAAGTAATTTTCAAATTTTAATCAATAACAAAGAAATATAGGTTAAAATATCACAAAAATTTTAATTAGGACACATAAATTTGTGATGTTTGAAGAATTAAAAAATGAAATCTAGAACTCATTATATAACTCACCCAAATCAAAAGAGTTCATTTTTTTTCAAATTTGCCTTCATCCTTCACTTCTCTTGCTTTTTTTTTTTTTTCCTCTCTCCAGCTATTCTCTACAATCATTTTCACTCATTAATTATTAGATTTGACAATTATTGTAATCGATAATTATGTTATGTAAAATATTATGTTTATGTTATGTTTTATACGAAAATCGTACATTATAATTCATGTTGATATAAAAAATATAAAATATAATTTTTTTTATTTTATAAATATATTTATAATTTTTATAATTTTAAATCATGTTATCTTTTTTTTTTATATCATATCACTGTATTATATTTTAAATCATCATATCTATTAATAATCCCTTTAATTTATCTATTTTGATTTTTTTTTAATTTGACTGCACAACGACCTTTGTAGGATCATAAACAGCTATTGCTGCTGTTTAATATTTTCTTCTACCCATAATTGCACCCCATCATGAAATTAATATTTGCCAATTAAGTATTTGGTATTGACCCTTTCAAATAAAACAAAAGTAGTTGGTATTGACAATAAAAAGTTTAGGAAGAACATGGACTTTAATTCAATTAGTATATTAATTTATTTATAAAAATTAATATTTTAATAAATTTAAAATTTAAGTTATAATAATTACAATTTTTTACTGAAAAATAAAATTGAATAGTTAAAAATATGAAGTTTTCCTTTAAAAATCCATAAGAAAGCTATTACTGTTGATAAAATTGAAATTGAAATTATAATACTTATAATTTTATTTATTTTCAAAATTTTCTACCTAAAAAAATTTGAAAGTTAAAAATACGAAGTTTTCCTTTAAAAATCCATAAGAAAGCCATTGCTGCTGCTTTCATTTATTTTTTAGCAGAACATTCTCTAAATCTGGTATTAGTGTATTTATATAATTTAAAATATAGATAATTTATATATTTATATTATATACAAATATTATGTTTTATAATTTATGTAAATATGTAGAATATAAAATATAATTTTTATTTTTATTAAATATATATAATTTTGTTAAAAATTTTTTAAGATATAATTTTATTATATTTTAAAATATTTATTATATTCGTACTTTTTTGTACTATCATTTATTTTAAATTATCATAACTAGCTATTAATTTCCGTACACCGCGTATATCAACTCAACGCACTTGACTCTTCCTCTTACCTACGGCCCTCCCCAGCCCACACACCACGTCAAAAACACCAACCCGTACGCCATCTGCAAAAAATAAAACACTAAAAACTCTCACTAACCTTAACACTCCCCCCTCCCTAAAAAAAAATAAAAAAAGATATTATTTCTTTTAAAAACACGAGAGAACGAAAGGAAAAAAAAAAAAAAAAACCAAGCTTGGTTTTCAGTTTGCTTCCAAATGCAAAACCCCTATATTCATCGGAGGGGACGCCAAGGTCCACCGTTAACGATCGTTCCCTTACCCGGCCAGGTGTCATTTCGTATTATCTGCCACGTTTCATCTATCGGAGGAGTCATCGGGAACTCCGGCGCCGTTGTTTCTCAAATTCGCCGCGAGACTACCACCCGAATCCACTGCGAAGAATCGGTTCGCGGCTCGGCTCACCGGGTTATATTGATAGTGGGGTCGGGGTCGATCAAGAGACGGTTTGGTTTGGATGAGGGAGAGGAATGTGACGTGTCGTGTGCTCAGGAAGCAATGATTAGGGTTTTTGAGCGCGTGTGGGAAGTGGAAGCCGGGAGAGAGTCGGGAAACGCTTGCGATGGGGAGGAAGAAGAAGCTTACTGTGGTCTGCTGGCTGATACGACACAGATTGGTGCCGTTGTGGGAAGAGGAGGGAAGAATATTGTGAGAATGAGGACAGAGAGTGGAGCTAAAATTAGGATTTTGCCGCCGCCGCTATGTGGAAGAAAAAATGACGAATTAATTCAGGTGAGCGGTTATTTTTATGTTTGTTTGGTTCTCGATAAAGTGAAATAAAATCAAATCATAGTAACAATAATTATAGTTTATGAGATGGGAGAAAGCTACCTTTTTGTGTAGCTCAAAGTTTTGTAGGCTACCATATTTACCCAAAAAAAAAGGGACAAAAAACGATAAGATATTGATGTTGAGGTAATGCTATAAGCTTCTGTAATGGTCTTTGATGTTGTGTGAATTTGACAAATGTTGTGCTTAATTGTGTTGGTACTTCCTTTCAGTCGTGGAATTGGAGATTGAATTGAATGAAGAATATATGAATCAGTTAGACAATTTGGTAGGGAAAGACTAGCATCACAAATGGTTTTGGATATGGTTAATATCACGAAAATTTGTTTGTTTGATTCTTTTTTGTAATAGCGCAGATAACTGGTGGCACTTTGGCTGTCAAGAAAGCGCTGGTTGCTGTATCTAACTGCCTTCAAGCTTGCCCACCCTTGGACAGAGAGCCAACACCTATGACTACACCTACTGAGCTACCTTCACGTGGGACCTCCCCTGATCCACACAAAGAATTTTTTCCACACCTTAGTTCGTTGTTGCCACCTATGCCTGCAAATTCTGTAAGTGCTGCTTCAAATGCCCACTTTTCATCTATGGATGCTGACAGAGATTCCAACCTGGATTCAAATGGTACACAAAAAGAAGTTGTCTTTAGAATGCTCTGTTCCAATGGTGCTGCCGGGGCCATCATTGGTAAGAGAGGGGCTATAGTCAGAGCTTTGCAAAATCAAACAGGTGCTTCTATAATGTTTGCGTCCCCAGTAACCAAGTCTGGGGAGCGTGTTGTCACCATTTCTGCATTGGAGGTTAGTCTCAAAGTTGATTGTGGAGGTTTACTAATGCCAGTAGCTTTTACAGATGCTATACACTGTTTCTTGTTAAATCTTTCTCTCCTCTCTCCTTTTTCCTTGCTTGCAAGATGTGGTAAGGCACAAATGCATTGCCTGTGCATACTTTCTTAATGAAAAGGGGTTTTGTTTGTTGTAGAACCTTGAATCATGGTATTCTCCTGCACAAAATGCTGTTATTCTTGTATTTGCAAGATCTGTTGAGGCTGACATTGAAAAAGGACTTCCATCTGGCCTGAGTAAGGGTACTGCTGTAATTGTTAGGCTTCTAGTTGCATCAGACCTAGTCAGCTGCTTGAATGACAAAGTAGGCAGGGTACTTTCTGAGATTGTAGAAGTCACTGGTGCTGATGTACAAATATTGGATGAGGACCTCTCACTGGACCATTCCCCAGATAATGTAGTACAGGTGCAAATATTATTTGTGTTAGCAATTGTTGTTGTTTAAGTTAGTTTCTATATGGAAGGATCCTCTGAATTCCCATTATTGTTTGTGTCAAGCTGAAGTATATGCTTAGATAATGTGATTCAATCTGATTAATAATAAAAATTATCTTACATTATTTTAGTATAATTAACATTTTCATTTAGATCCATCAAATTTTTTTTTTTTTTTAAATATAAGAAGAATCTGTGTTAGCTCTCTAGGCAATTTACCTGTTTTGGTATTCAAGTCCTTTCTGCTTCCATCTTTTTTGTGATCGATACTGATAACAAATCTTCATTTAAAATTTTGACTTTTAGAATCATGGAAAATTTTATTACCTTTTGACTTAAGATTGTCAATATCTTGGTGATGCTTCAAATTAGTGGGTTTCATCCCGAATACTGCAACACGCCATCTTTTCAGTTTTCATGGTGGTGATTCCTTGCTTCTGCTGCCTTTTAGGCTCTTGCATAAATTTCAGGTTTTTTTTTTTTGTTACTTCAGTAAGTGATGATCTTTGGGTGCCACCCTCTTAATCAATTTCATCTTGAAGGATGTTTCATTGTTGTTTTACTTGTAACTTTGCAGATTACCGGTGAGTATAAAACTGTGCAGAATGCTATCTTTCAAGTAACTAGTAGGTTAAGGCATAATCTATTGCCTCCTGAAGTGCTGAATAAAATTAGAGTGAGGAATTGCTATGAAAAAGTAAGGGAGACAGGTCTGCCTCAAGTGCAGCAACCAACAAGCTCATCATTGGTTATTGATCAAGTACCTAATTTAGCTCAAAGAATACCCCCTGCGCTTCCAGACAATATTGATGGTTCTCTACCTGTAAAAATGCAGCCAGAACAGGTAAAAGCTCTTTTGTCTTTTCTTTTCTTTTTCCTCTTACAATATTGCTTTCACTAATTTTATAGGAATGCATACAAGGCCCTCAATGATTGGTTGGGTTTAGTTTCAGACTGCACGAAATGGGTGTATGGTAGCCACCCAAGATGTTGAACGAGGCTCAGCTACCTTTGGAAGGAGTTTAGACCTTGAGAGGTCACTGGATTTTCTACTTCCACGTGAAGTGCTCAACGAAGCGGGAGGAAGGAGCCCCTACAAAGGAGGGAGTAAGACTACTTTTTCTGGTTCACTTCAATCATCAGGTGTGTCTCTTGATTCTGACCAAAAGAATGCTTTAACAAGAGCAATGGGTAAACTTGGGCTCTCTGACAGTGTAGGCTGCCCGCCAAAATCTCAGCTTTTAGAGGTGAAAGATATTTGTTTATTTATTCTTTTGTACTTTTCTTTGTTGCTTCCGTTGCCTTAGTATTCCGAGGACATTAATGCTGTCCAAGAACCTAAGTGTTTAGGGGTGTGGCTGTGATTGCAGACTGTGAGAACAGGACATGGGCTGGCCAATGCAGATGTTAGAGGGAGTCTAGAACTTGAAAGGTCAGTAAAACAACAACAAACTAAGTTTCATATCCCATAACTCTGGGGTCGGCTGCATGAAAGGTTACAAAAGAATCATGTTAGGTCGTTGTTTTGAATCTTCTTGCGGCACTCATTTCTATCAAAAACTACTTTTTCATCTACTTCCTTAACCCTCATATTACTTGCATCCGTGTTTGAAAGGTCAGTATTACACGAGAAATCCTTGCTATCAATTCTCTCAGTTAAGTAAGGACAGTGTTTCACTCATATTTGTGGTTCTGGAAGATCAAAATTTGGGTGATTGAAGCACAGTCATTGAATATGTGGGTTTTATTATAGCTGTTGCCTTGAGTAATGTTGAGATTTGAGATAGCTGCTTACCAGTTGTTGGAGCTGGCCAGCTTGGTTCATCACACACTTTGAGTTTGGGGAACTCGATTCCTTTCACATATAATATCCTTTAACCAATTAAAGGGCATTTGAGAATCCAATAAATGATGCCTTTTTGTCATTCTGTGTTTCTTGTTAGTTATCATGATATTTGATACTAATCCTCATCTGTTGGTTGATTGAGTATGAGCAGCTTACATTTGTCCTGGAATAAAAAAAAAACATATTACAAAGTTTTATAGAAGCATTTAATCTGATTTTGAGTTTCTCATTTATGCAGCGGTAAGAAATCTGCTGTTGTGAAAAATACAAGTGTAGAGATTGTGGTTCCTGAAGATGTTTTTGGCTCTATTTACGGCGAACATGGCTGCAACCTTGCTCGTCTCAAAGAGGTAATTGTCTCTTACATTAGAAAAATGGAAAAAACACTCTGACCTCTGAGCATACTGTATTGCTGTCTGACTGCTTCGTAAATTATCCGTTTTTTTATTTTTATTATTATTATTTTTTGGGTATGAATTTATGTATGGTACTGCAAAATCAGATTTCAGGTGCAAAAGTTGAAGTTCGCGATCCTTGCCCTGGTGAAAGTGAGGGGATAGTTTTTATTTCTGGGACCCCAGATCAAACCCTGGTAGCACAAAGCTTGCTTCAAGCCTTCATCCAAGCCAACCTGTAATCAACATCACCAGATAGTTGATCTCACCTTTTGCAATCACATTAATTGCGTCGGAGATGATGTGATTTTGTTGCTTGCTACAATCATTGTTCGTGACTGTCTGGGCCAAGGGAATTACTTTATCCCACATCTATCATAGTTCCATGTAGAGTACACGTAGAAAATTGACGACAGAGAGTATAGGAGTGATTGTTGATACGAAAATTATTAACAAACTTAGCAAATATCTTTAAAACAAAGATCAAATCATATTCTTGTAGAGTTGTTTTTCTCGAAGGGAACGGTCTTGTAAATGTCAATCATCGAACTGTAAATATTCAGCATTATGTTATAGTACTCACAATATCATTAAAACCAGTCATTTTCTCTGTCTGTTGCAGTCTTACCTTTGTGTATTAGCACAAATGTTCATATGCCTTTCAAGTGCAACACCAGCTACCATCCTCCCCTCTTCCTGCTCTTCCCTTTCTTTGCCTCTACTTGCAGTCAGAAAAGAAAATTCATTTGCTGCCAATTCTACTAACTAATCTGCATTGCTGCTTATTGAGCTTGATGGATGGCAGTTTCATCTACCATTTAAAACTCAACTCTACTTAGCAAACCCTTAATTCCACTTGAAAATTTTTGTTGGGCAGTTATTATCCGCATGGATTATTTATCAAATATGAGACAGTTAATTTAGAGTTTAATTCAGTTAATTTATTCACGTGATATCTAATAAATTTGGAGTTCAAAATTCAAAGAAAAAAAATCTTCTATGCTACTTAAAAATTAGTAAAAGTTTATATTACTTTATCTAAGAGTAAATAATGCATTTTCACCTATGATTTAAAATTAAATATGAAAACAAACAAAAATTAATTAAAAAGATAAAAATAATTTGAACAAATATTAATCATAAATTTAGGTGAAAGTTCATTATTCACCCTTAAACAGAGTCGTGAAAGTTTTAATTTTTAAATAATAAAGAGAATCCTTTCCCTCAAATCTGATACTTGTAATCTCTTTCTTTACAGTAGGCTAAGGCCTTCTTGCCAAAAAAAAAAAAAAAATATTGAGACGGTTGAGAATCTATTTAAATACACTAGGCCTTCTTGCTAATACATTATGAAGCAGGAAACTATTGGACACTTTCAGTGCAACTTGGTGTGATCCATCTGCCATTCGTTTCAGGATGACATTTGAATAGGAACATACTTAGAAACTCAAATCTTTTATGTGAAGTTCATTACAATACAACCAAGGAATAAATAGAAACATTACTGAGGTTTGACTATTTCATTTATGATACCAGAAGGAGTTCTGACCTCCTATATTAAGAACCCATACATAAATCTTTTTAAGTTGGATTCGTACAATTTTCTCTAATCCTCGAAAGCGGAGTTCAGATCTAAGCTGGCTTGGACCCTAGGTGAGTTTTCCATAATATTTAATGTGCTTGATAATTTCCTGTCCAATTTTTTCTTTCCCAGTTCTAGATTCCGATGGTTTATTTGTGCTTACTTGAACCGCAGGGCTACTTTTGGCTTTCCTAGCATAGATAGGACTGTTGCAGAGATATGCCTTGAGGAGAGCCCTGCTTCTTCTATCTGCTCTTTGGGTGATCCATGATCAATGTATCTATCAGGAAGCACCAGTGCTCTCAACTGCAGAGGCTCTAAAACTAATTAGACAGAGGAAATAAAACAAAAAAGTGAAAAAGGCAAATCTAGAAATTGAGATTTAGAAAAAAGAAATACCTTGAGAGATCCATCTAAAATACCCGTCAAGCTCAGGAAATGTGATACATGTGAGCCAAATCCTCCAATGGAACCCTCTTCCACAGTAATCAGAATCTCATGCTCATTTGTTAATTGTTTGATGAGATCTCTATCTAGAGGCTTTCAAAATCTTGCATCAGCTACTGTTACATAAATGTCTTGAGATCTGAGCATGTGTGCTGCTTCAATGCATTGTTGAACTATGGTACCATATCCCAAAATAGCTAATCTATTGCCTTCCATAATAATTCTTCCTCTCCCACTCTATTCAACCATCAAACAAGAAACAATAATAAGTTCATCTCCTCTGTAAGAATCTGTTTGGATATCCAAAATTTGATTATCCTAAACTCAAGAGGAGTTCCTTTGTAATTAGGTGGAAGAACTACTCCAGTACCATTTCCGCTTGGGAACCTGAAGCAGCTGGGTCTGTCATCAATGGCTTGCTGCCGTTGCAACCATATGCATAAGCTCAGCCTCATCAGATGGGGCCATTACCACCATGTTGGGCAAGTTAGCCATATATGTGATATCAATGCCCCGCAGTGGGTAGGTCCATCTGCCCCAACCAAACCAGCTCGATCCATTGCAAAACGGACAGGTAACTTTTGAAGATCAACATCATGCACCACCTGCCATCGGAGTGAAAATTTCCAACAAAAGTGCCAATCAGGAAAAAAGTGAGAAAAGAGAGAATATTTTTAGAAGGAAATCCAGTCATATCCAATGTACTATGTCCATTGTTGTGACCACACCTGATCATATCCTCGTTGCAAGAATTATGAGTAGATGGTATAGAATGACTTGAGATCCTCAGAGGCTAAACCACCTGCAAAAGTAACCGCATGTTGCTTGGCAATCCCCACATCAAAGCAGCGGCCTGGGAACCTTTTTTGAAAGAAATTGAGACGTATTCCCCCACCCATAGCTACTTGGATGGCTACAATCTTGTTATCAGCCTCAGCTTCTTTGATGAGCGATTCAGCAAAGTACTGCGTATATGACAGTGTAGAGGATTTGGACTTAAATTGCTTGCCTGTTTTTGTGTCAAATCTTACAATACCTGAGAGTGAAGGTAGGATAATGATCATATTGACAAGTCACAACATCACAATGGATTAAGCGTAGCAATCTTACCATGCATTTTATCAGCTGCGGCCTCAGCTGGGGGACAGCCCTTTCCTTTCTCAGTCACGATGTGGATTAGTACTGGCCCTGGGGCAGGCATGGCTTTCACTTGATGAAAAATGGGTACTAAATCTTCAATACTGTGTCCATCAACCGGACCGATGTAATATAGCCCTAGTTCCTCGAAGAGAGTGAAGCCAGAAGCACTCATCATTCCTCTTGCATACTCATCTACCTTTGCTGCAATTTCATGTGTCTGTTCGCCAAATTGTTTAGTGAGGCCCTTCAACACAAGTAATCCCAGTCAGATTTCTGTTGATGCAAAGATCGGAGCGTAAGACGGAAAATAAAAAGAAAGCTTAGAGGTTTACTTTTGCTGTTTCACGAAGTTTACGGAATTTCGTGCTTGCTTGAATCTTGGTTCAAACCCTGCTGAGAGCTCCAACAGGTTTTGCAGGACCATCCAGAGTTGCAGTTGGTAGAGATACTTGTTTATTGTCGTTCAATATGACAAGCAGGTTAGAATCAAGGAATCAGACATTATTCATGGCCTCGTATGCAAGTCCTGCGGTCATGGCTCCATCTCCAATCACTGAAATGACATTGTTCTTCTCCTTTAGAATGTCTCCTGCCACTGCCATGCCTACATTTAAAAAAAAAAAATGAATGTTCGTTATAATTATATTCCATATGGTTAATATGTAATTTGACCTTTAAATTATATTATGTTTTATATTTGATACTTGTAGAAAAATTCATTGTCATTTGCTCCAAACATGACATCAATGGTGTAAAGTGTTTGATGGAAGCAAAATTAATGTATCATTTAATTTTTTTTCTATATGTACCAGATCATGAAAAATAATATAGTTCAAGGGCCAATTTATAGATTAAGTGATTAACCCTATTACATATCTTAAATTTTTATACTTTACAACTAGCTTATGGAATGAAAGAGTTTATTATAATAAGAGTGAGAACCAAATACCAATTCCAGCTGATAATGCTTGTAGAACTGTGTCCAACACCAAAAGCATCGTAAACACTCTCATCCCTTTTAGGAAACCCTGCAAGCCCTGAAGTTTTTCTTATCGTGTGCATCCTTGATCTTCTACCCGTCAGAATTTTATGAGGGTCTGCCTGCAATTTTGTTGATTTCAGGCCCATCTTCTATTTTTTTTTTTTTTTCTGAAAGGCATTTAAATATGCTATTTCTGAACTTCCATCTGAAAACAAGTTGCCTGTCTGTCTCACCTGATGGTCAACATCCCATATAATTTTAACATCCCATATAATTTTATCTTCACGTGTGTCGAACACATGGTGCAAAGCTATTGTCAGCTCCACTACTCCCAAGCTTGAGCTAAGATGTCCACCGGTCTCTGACACTGTGTGCACAACATCGGCTCTAAGCTCTGCTGCCAGTTGTTCAAGTTCCTAAAGGTAATACCAATATTAAAATCAACAAAAAATCCAGCAGAAATTGTAGAAAACAATATATATATATATATATATATATGTAAGAGAAGAAATGAAGAATCCCATTAACGAAGTAACAGAGAGACAGAGCTCTGAATCTGATGATCATCCTGTAGTTTTACCTTTGTGGATAAGTTCTTCATATGAACAGGGTAGTTGATGGTGTTGGCGTAGCCGGTTTCTGTCCAGAGAAATAGATCTTCCAGCCATCATTCTGATTCCTTATCCTCATTTTACGTTCCTGATCATCTTCCAAGTTTCCGGCACAGGCTTTAAGACAGAACTGAAAACACAACAAGCAACCACCACTGTGCACCATCTATAGGACATGGAGATTAGAAAGAAAACCCCACATCATAGAGACGAAAACCAGAATCTTTTAAACACTAAGCAAACCAAGCATAAATGAGAAAACATATGTTGAAAAAAAAAGCAGGCAGAATATGGCAATTATATTATAGCAAAAAAAAAAAAAAAACCTGAGCGTTAGATTTACTAACATGTTTTTTGCAGCTAAGGTTTGGCCTTCTAGGTTTGAGAAATGGAACAAAGGATTGTATTGGTCTAACCAAAGACCCAGGAACCGCCATTTTTTTATCAAATTCTTTGAGAGAAATGAGGAGAAGACAGAACAGGGAGCTTAATACGGACGGAGCCTAGAATCAAGTTAACAGTGTAAAGTGTAAATGAGACAGAGACAGAGAGAAGTGTAAGTAATTAAAGGGCTTTTTTTTTTTTTTTTACATAAGAGCAAAAAAGGGAAATATATTGAAATTTAAGGGAAAAAATTCAATCATTAATTATTTTTTTGAGAATTAAGTACAATTTTCGAACTTAGATTCGAATCCAATTTTTTGAGAAAGGGATGCAACATGATTTAGGGGGATAAATTGAAATTTAAGTAAAACTAGAAAAGAATTGGGAGTCTGATCATTTCAGTCCTTTTTTTCTTTCTAAAT